CAACGTGTACATCTCGGGTTAGTAAAATCTGACATAACCAAATTGAAAGATACGCGGAGAGCTAGAGATAAATTATGGGGTGATGATTGGTTTTATGTTTGTATGGAATGAGTTAAAAAAAGTTACCTTTGACAACACCATCAGTACATTACAGAAATGTGTCCTTTCCAGAGATGTAATATCAATTCAGTTGACGGTAAAATCCAGTTACTAAGGGTGTTTGTTTGAGACCTACATGTATAGAAGGACTTATGTATACTAGGGGAGTAGTCTATGACATAATATAATGTCTGTATTTTGATCTACAGCAGTACGTACGTGTCCATGTTCGGGTAGTGGTGTATACTGCTCTGTTTGTCCATACTGTGTGCACGTACAGAGTCCATCTGGTTCAAAGCTGTTGGAGCCAGTGGGATGTTCATACGTGTGATTTTCCAGACAGATGGAAAGCATAAATGACTTCAAGTTATGACCACACAATTTGCCCTCCACATCTGAGCCCATAAGTCCATTGTATTCACATTGTCTTTATGTGTGGTTTCCAAGGTGGAGGAAACTTTGCTGTGCGCTTAATATCCTGGAGAAATCTTGTTGATTTCTCCAAAGCAAATCTATGAATTCATTGTTTTCTTTGGCTTATGCTGCCCTCCTAATTTATGTTCTGATTATAACTCTCTTGACAACAGTAACAATAACATCCCTAAAAAGGTCAGTGTTTACTTAAATCAAGTGTAGTGGATTGAATTATGTCACCCCAAACTCATTGAAGCTTGAATTATGTCCCCCAAGTTTTATGTATTAGAAACTTAGCCCCCACTGTGACTGTTAAGAGGGTGGGAAATCTTATTATGGTGATGGAAAGGTGGAGCCTTGAAGAGGTGATTGGATTGTAGGACTGTGCAGCAGTGAATGGACTAAAATCGTGGTCAGGGGTGTGGTTCTGAGGGCTTTAGAAGAAGAGGAGAGTCTGTCTTCCTCTCTCTCTGCTCTCTCTGCTTCCACAGTCTTGCAATGTGAGACAACCTGTAGTGGATTGAATTATGTCCCCCCAAAACTCACTGAAGCTTGAGTTGTGTCCCCTGAGTTTTATGTATTAGAAACTTAGCCCCCACTGTGACTGTTAAGAGGGTGGGAAATCTTATTATGGTGATGGAAAGGTGGAGCCTTGAAGAGGTGATTGGATTGTAGGACTGTGCAGCAGTGAATGGACTAAAATCGTGGTCAGGGGTGTGGTTCTGAGGGCTTTAGAAGAAGAGGAGAGTCTGTCTTCCTCTCTCTCTGCTCTCTCTGCTTCCACAGTCTTGCAATGTGATACCCCTGGGTCACTGTCACCACCACCAGATGGACTTTGGACTTCCCAGCCTCAGAAACTGTAAGCAATAAATGTCATTTCTCTTTATAAATCAACCAGTTTCAGGTATTTTGTTATAGCAACACAAAACGGACTAATACAACAAGGGATACGATTCTCTTAAATTTTTAAATAAACTTTTTATTATGAGGATTTTCAGTCATTCACCAAAATATAAATCCCCATGTACATGTAACCCCACTTCAATAATTATCAACATTTATAATTCACTTTATGTAAGTGTCTCTTACAATTCATGTAAAAGGATTACTTTTCTGAACCCATATACTTAATGACAGGGTAGAAAAATAGAAATAAATGCTGGTGACACACTTTGCATGGAGAGCCAGATTCTGAAATTAGGAGATTCTGTGAGAGAGGGAAGTAATTTCTAAGAATATGAGTGATGCTTGGACATGTAATGAATAGTATAGTTGTTAACATTTTTCCCATCCCCAAATTATTATGTTGCAGAAAAATGCATTCTGTAACAGGTAATTTTCAGTTAACCTGTTACCTTTAACTTTGAGACAGAAGAAAGGTGTGAAAACGCCTTGTTGCGAGCAGGTGTGTGGCTCAGGTTCTCTGTCTCCATTTCCGATGCCCACTGGGGGGCGCTCCCGTCACCCTTTCAGTATTCCGACATTGAGGGTGGGCACCTGCCTCGTCAGGGCTTTCCTAACTTAATAGGATGAACTGGGTGGAGCTGACTCAGTAAGGAAAAGGAATGGCTAATGCTGGTCACATCGGATAGGGAGGCCAAGTTTTGAAATATGCATCCTGTTTACATTATGTAAGATCAGGATAATATTCTTCTTCCCCAGTTACTATGATTTGAACCCCTCAGATGAGGTCTGCCAAGCTGATGGTGTTGGAGTCTTGTAAAAGAGTTGGACTCCATACCAATTTGTTCAAAACTAAGACTTCCGATTGCAGTCTTGTTATTTCATTATTACAAGTTTTAAGTACTACTTAAAACTCTTCTTTTGACTGAGTTCCCAATCTTAGAAACAAAATTCTCATTTTTTCTGTATTTTGATCGTTCCAGTAAATATCAAAATCTGATTTTGGCATTTTGCTAGCCAACACATAGCTCTACAGATATTTGGAGTGTTATAATGCATATTTGACACCAAAAATTATTTTCCCTTCATTCTTAAGAGTTCTCATTAAGAATGCTCCCTTAATTATTTTCCCCCTGTGAAAGTGATCGGAGGCTTCCCCATGAAGATTTTAAAGTTTATACTGAAATGCAAGTTTTCTAAATTCTGACTTTGTGTGATAAGGATGTTTTTCTTATGTGTCTTTCTTCCATGACCCAGGAATTGGGTCCAGGCTCCTACCATCTTGTGGCTCAGATGTCCCTGAAGGCCTTGTTTGTTACAGACCATCCACACCTTGAAAGCCCTGTCTCAGAATAGCGTTTGTCACTTGCATTCAAATTTCATTTGCTGCACCTGGCTGCACAGGAAGCTGAGGAATGTGGAATTGTTGGGTATTCAGGAGGAAGAGAAGTCAGAGTTTTGATGAACAGAGGGCAGACTCTGCTGTACCTGAATCCTGGGATTCAGTACATCACAAAGCAAGCTCCGAAATCTGTTGAGCCTCAGCAGAGGGGAGAGAAGTGCATGGGCTGAGTTTGATGCTTAGCTGAGGCCCATGGAGATAGACATGACCTGTTTGGTTTCTGCCTTGTAGATGATACCTGGAACTGGTGCTGATATGGCTGTTGGAACCATGGTGTCTGTGGCCGAGGACGGCCCAGTGGAGGAAGCAGAGGCAGATGAGGCAGCGCTCCCTGCTGGGGGAGGAGGAAGCTTAGAGGAAGCCAAAACTGATGCTGAAACCAGCGAGGCTGCAGATGGTGACAGACCTCAACCAGAAGAGATGGAAGCAGCAGGGCCCCAGGTGAGTGTCCTAGTGAAGGGATCTGCTGGGGAGACAGCACTGGCTACACTGCTCTGTCTGTTGGTTAGTGGTGATGACTCTTTGGATATGGAATAGATTTGTAGCTATTTCGTGACTCCCACTATACCAAAAAAAAAAAAAAAAAAAAATGAGCTTCTCAGAAAGCTTCTCAGCAAGAGTGGTCCTGTCCCTCTCAATGTCAGCACTGTGAGGTTCCATGCAGGGCCCCCAGTGCCTGAGGCCAACTGGACCTAAGCAAAGAAAGGGGAAAAGAAAACTATGGAACAAAGGGATGGAGGAAGGGATGAAGCACAGACGAGGAAAAGGATGAGAATGGAGGGAGGAAAAAGAAAGGCCATTGTAAGATCAAGTGGGAAGATGCCCGTAAAGTGCTGAGCCCAGTGCCAGGCACCTGGTGAGAAGTCAGTGTCAGTAGTGAAATGCCGTCACTGTCGCTGCTGGTTTGAGGTGGGGTTATTACTGGAGTGCCCGAGTGCACCACCAGGCTGCTTTCACAAAGAGCCTGTTGCTGCGTTGCACGGACCATCAAGCATGGAGTGAAGTTGCAGCCGGCCCAGCTCTCCATGCTTGCAGCACCTTCAGCAGCAACACACCCCAGGTTCTCTGTCTAGGGGGGCCTCAAACCAAAGCACCTGCACCCCGCTGTTTGTTTCTTTCATATTCTGGAAGGTAACATTAGGAGTGGCTTATTGGTGTGCTTTCTTTTTCACTGATGATTTTACTCACAATCAATTTCCAGATACCTCTCCGAGGATATTTAAAGCTTGAAATAGAATTGTCCCTTTCACCCCATCTAGTAAAACAGCAGATGACAGTGGCATTTGGAGTACTAACTCAGAGGAATATTGCATTTCTTGCCTTAGATTTCTTTGTCACAGTGCAGGAGTGTTTTTGTATTGTTTTTATGTTGTGGCAAGAGGGTATTGTTTTCTCTGAACTGAAGAATGGACGTGCGCGTGTCTACTGAGAGCCGTGGGAACGTAGAGGAGACCTGTGAGCGGTGCGTGTCTGCAGATGCCCTGTGCTGATGCAGCGCGCCCCTTGCTCCTCTTTGCACAGCACTTGAGAGAGAGGTCCTGATCTTTTGGTTCTGCCCCTGACAGTAGAGCCCTGGGTGGGACAGTGGGCACTGTAGTCCTTGAGCAGTGACTGTGGTGTGTGCTCTAATGACAACCACAAGCCGGACCAGGGGGCTCTGTACCAGCCAGGAGGGGTGCAGGCCATTCGGGAGGCCGTGGGACTCTGGGGAAGATCCCGGGAGGTGTGCAGTGGGACCAGAAGGGACTGTGCCTCGTGCGTTCCCTTCCAGAACTGACCCCTCCCTCAAGACTTGGCCTCCCCCACTGTCCCCTGTCCTTCTTCCCACTGTGCACCCAAACCTGCTCTTACCAAACTGCTGGACTGTTCAAGGATCCAGAAATGAGTCCCACTAAGGGTTTAGTCCCCAGGAGAGACAGAAGGGAGGCCGTGCGACAAGAAGGCCCCAAGGTGCAAGGCAGAACACAGCCCAGGCAGGTCCTGGAGAATCACAAGTCAGTGTCACCCCTTTCCCTCCAGGACAAGGTCATCCCCTGTGTCATCATAGAGCCTGCCTCCAACAACGAAGGGGAGGGAGAGCACGAGACCAGCACAGGTGCAGAGCCCCAGGAGGCCACCGAGGACGCGGCTGCCCCAGGACCCAGCGAGTCTCCGGCGCCGGCCTCGGAGCAGAAGCCGCCGGAGGAGCCTCAGCCCGTGGGGGCCACCGAGCCACCTGTGCCCGCAGAGGAGGCCACACAGCCTGTGCCCCCCGGCTTCCTCTACAAGGTGCTTTCGTGCTTTTGATCCCGTGGCCTTTGTCCTTTCTTTGCTTTGGGTCCCTTTGGCTCACACCTTTGGTTTTCCAATGATTACTTCTCCTTCGTGCATGTATTCTTTGCCTGAACTGCTTTCCCTTCGCCCCAAGATCACCTTGGAAAGTGGCAGGATTTCATTGCTGCTGGGCCAGCAGGAGCTGCAGTGACACCTTGCCGTAGCTTCACAGAGAATAATTAAGGGAAGTTTCTCCCAGGAGAAGTGGTTTGCACCGGCTGGTGAATGGGACATGGCTCTGTGCCCCGGGCCCTGGAGCCTGCTCAGCCTGGCTCAGGCCTGACCTTCAAGTCACGGTCACCAGCTCTTCTGGGACTGGGCTTGCTCTTCTCAGGGGTGGAACTGTGACCACTCAAGCAGTGCTGGCACCTCCCACAGGGCATGACACCAAGAAGGCAGCCAGTAGATAAGGACAAAAATAAGTGAATTAAATAGATTAATGGGTTTCTATGAAAAGGAAGAGAAAAAGAAAATTAATGGGAAGAGGGTTTTTTTTATTAAAGCTCTGAGAGGCTACTTGGAGCCTTCACAAACTAAAGGGTGCTGACCAAAAAACCCAGTAAATTCCCAGAAGCACTGGTATAAGCCAAGCGTTAAAGGCAGATAGTGCACCCAAATAGAATCTGATGAGGAATTTTAAGTCCTACAATTTGATTTTACATTTCAAAATTCAGCTGTTTTTCTTTTTAAAAGTGTTAAGTTTGAGTGTGTTCATGGGGCAGGCTTGGAGAGCTGTAGTCATTCTCTCTGTCCATCACAAAGTAACTGCTACTTTGCTGCCTCACATGGGGACAGGGTGGCTCTGATGGCTTTATGAATTAATTAATGTGGAGGGAAAAATGAAGCCTGTGCGTTGGGGGTTGTATCCTGCGTGGTGTTGTAGCTGGAGCGCAGGCAGTCAGGGAAGCCACGTGCCAGGCAGGGCCATGGCTTGCTGGGCCCCCTACCTCCTCACTAACTGTCCTGGGACCTAAGGCTCATGGCTCAATCCCTCTCTCCGGGCATCAGTTTTCTCACCAGATGAATTAATTTTGGGATAACATAGTCCTTTCCAGCTCTGTGCAGAATACACATCTTAAAAGCAGATTGTTTAATCTCAGGGGTGGAGTTGAAGACAAGGACATGGAGAAGTGAAACTGGCCATGACTGTGTAGTGGTTCAAGCTGGGGGACCGGTGCATGGGGCTCATTATGTTATTTCTGCTTTTGTTTTTTTAATTTTCTATAACAAAAGTTTAAAGAAGTCTTTTTCTAAAAAGGGAAAGAAAAGGACTAGGTTGCCATGGTATAAAGGGTAGGACAGGAAAGGGAGGAAGTTTATTTACAAAGACATTGATGACAGAGTTTATTTAAGTAGTAATTCGTGTATAACGTGCAAGTGATGGTTTTCCCGATTATTAATTATTTGACAGAAGCTGGGGTAGAGAAACTTTCAGCTACGCATTTTTAGTTCATTTTTAGTTCAACAGCAGCAGTGATAATCAAATACAAATTTCTTTAAAAATGGGATGAATTAAATTGTAATTAATATAATACCTTTAGCTATTGCAGAGGGCATGCATTACTAAATATACATGCAGGTGGCCTCATAACAGCCAAAAGAATGGGGTATAAAGTAAACAGAATAGGATTTCCTTTCTCTTTTTAGAGGCCTCTCCTTCCTTGGGGTGTGATATGTATCTTCATCTTTTTATTGAGCTTGGAGAATGTTTCTGAGAGTGCCTGCTGATAATCTGGCTGATAATCCATGATTTTATGTTTCCTTCTTTTCTTTCTAAAATTAATCAAATCTTTTAAAATCTTTTGCAGGTGGAAACACTGCATGATTTTGAGGCAGCAAATTCTGATGAACTTACCTTACAGAGAGGTGACGTGGTGCTGGTGGTCCCCTCGGATTCCGAAGCTGACCAGGTAAAGGAGGAGACAGGAAGATGGTTCAGCCTTGTTTGGCTTTTCCTGAGGGTCACTTGGATGCACTGATGTCCTGAAGATATTTCCATTTTCTGAAATGCATCAATCCCTACATCATTAATTTGATTTTTAGGACACCCTTGGGGGATGTAACTTCTTATCATGTAACTTCTTTGTAGGGGTGTTATCTTTGTAACACCAGACTTCAGGAAATGCAGGCACTATTCATGTGAAAAAGTCCTCTTCAAAAGCAGTTGCCTCTGGGGATGTGAAGGTTGATTGGGAAGAACCTGGGAGACCTTCTGGGGTGATGGAAATACTTTATATCTTTATAGGTTGCACATGTATATGTGTTTGTCAAAACTCATTGAATTGTACACATAACACAGACCCCTTGAGCCCGTTCACAAACCCTTCACACACAGTTCTATGAGGTAGGTAACCAGCAAAAAGGTCCTTGGAGCCTTGGTTAAAGAAGGAATAGTCTTTCTTCAGCACACACACATGTCTAAGAGTTAAACAGTCCAAAGGAGAAATTCAGAAACTCAACTGCTACCGGCAAAGTCCAAAGAAAAAACGAGCAGCTGCCAGCAGAGTAAACATGTTCTATTTTTAGACACAAGCTCTGCTGGCCAGCTTCTGCTTCACAAACTCAAGAACACACAATAGCAACAAAACTAAAAAGATACATTGGTGCACATGCACACTAACTCCACCCACACAGCTTTTTTACAAGAAATGTGCTGCTCAGCCCCCAACCAGACCTGAGCTGAGGGAACCTGACTGAATTATCCTATTTTCCCCACAATCCACCCCTTTAGGGTCCCTCGCCATACAATATACATGTTAAAAATCTTCTGCAATGTTCCCTTAGTGAGGATAAATTTTATTTATACAACCTATTTACTTATACAGCCTTTTATTTATACAATCTATTTTCTGTTTGATATGGTTTAAGGCTTGTCCTATAGTTCTGTCCTTTAGTCACACATGTCTGGTTAGTGGTCATCATTGGTATGATTTTCCATGGGAATCTTGTAGTCATACTGATGTGAAGTTCAGTACATATTCAGTAGATGATCACGCCAACGTACGTATGTACCCAGTCGACTCTGGTGCAATGCCTGCAGCCAGAACACTATGGGTGAAAAGACAGAAGGTTTATTGGTACCAATAGGGAAAGTTCTCACCCCTCTGGTAAGATACATGCCAGTTTGCCATCCTGAGAAAGGATGGTTGCAGGAATAAGTATTTTACCTGGTTTATGATACCATACTTTATCTGCTAACACTATGGGGTCTATAGGTTCTACATGTAACAGTATAGGGGAACTCATAATTGGCCATACAAACAGAAGACCAGTAACTCTCTGACTTTGGCGGTGGTCCCACATAATCCACCTGCTCCTGTGTCAGGGGCACTCTCTCATGAGTTATCTGCCCATCAGAGGCACCCATCTGCTCATCAGGAGCACATCTGCCCATCAGGGGCATTTTTTCTCGGGTTTATGTGGTACCCAGTGAGCCATTGACCACCCAGTCTTGCAGCTAGGTGCATTGCTGCATTCTCCAATGTAGCCACCCAGCTACATCCGCTGCTGGGGCTCTCTCCAGCCACCTACCTTAGCCAGCACATCAGCTTCATCATTGCCAATTCAACATGAGGACTCCAGCTCTCATCTGCCTCCCCAAATGAGCACCTTGGCCTGCTCCTTAATTGAAATGGAACAGTTCATCCACCTCCTTGGGAGCAAACAAAAAAATCTTTAAAATCCACTGAACATACCTTGCTACTTTTTTCCAGACATTTAATGAAATGCTGTTCAGGGCACAATTGCTTCCACAAGGCAAACAGAACTGCATTTGGCTGCTGGTCAGTTTTCTTGCTATCAACCCCTGCTGCAAGCAAGTCAAGCTACATCTGCTTATGGCTAGTCTTGCTTGGTCCCTTTGGGATAATATCCCGAGTATTCCTTGGGGGTTTGGTCTTAACCACCTTCCAGACCCCTTTTGCTTGTCTCCTATCCTCTACTTCACCCAAGCTGGCTCTCATGGTTGTTACCTCATGTATAGGATGACTAATGTATGGGGCCACTATGACCATCAGTGACCCAGAGGACATTGACGGGGCATTTCGCAGCACTATGTCTCTCATGCTGCCTATAAAGTTTTCATCATCTGGGCCATGAGTGTTCACATTAAACATGGACCGCCACATCCCCTGCTTTCAAATTATTTGAATTAACTCAACATATTTTTGCCATTTACTAAAAATCTTGGGAAGTTCTCCAGCATTTGCACATGTGGCTCAGGCACCTGCACTCACCCATTCCATTAAGGAGTGATTCCCTGGCCCTTGTGCATGTCTGTGGCTATTCTGTAGCCACTGCCTCAGGGACAGGTGCATGGTGATGGAGGCCAATTTTTCCATCTCCTCACCAGAGCATATCACACTATCCACCCCTAGGTCCCATAACCACAACAGCCAAGCAGCCAGGTGCCAAAACTGTCTCCCCAAGTCAACTAATTCAACCTGGGTATGTGGGACATAGGTGGTAGATTGAGTCACCTGTGGATTTCCCACTGGTTGCCTGCCTGGTCCTATGGGCTGCTTGTGCTTCATTTTCTAATGCACAACAAGTCATACCTAGGGATGCACAGTCTCCCCCAACTCACCACTGGGTTCGTCATCTTCCCTGGTGTGAGAATCTGGAGTGGCCAGTCACTGCATGTCATTCTCCAGGACATTCATCCATGCTTCCAACAACCCTGCTTTCTTCTTCAGGTCTTGATCAGTTTGCAGCACAGTGAGCAGCAGCCAGGCTCTGGTCAGCAGAAAAGTGGCCACTGGGCAGCACACAGTCAAGGACAGCCACATTTCCTCCCCCTCCCAAGAGGTTTTCCACTGTAGTGCCTGGTCTATGCTGACTTGCAGTGCAGTGAGCAGCAACCCCAACCCGGTCAACAGGAAAGTGGCCATGGGGCACAACATGTTCAAAAGTAGCCACATTTCTTCTTTCTCCAAGGGCTTCTTGTCTCCTGTACCTGCTCAGAATCCTGCCAACTACGCCAATTGTAGAGCTAGGGCTGGTTCTGGAGCTCACAGACCCCTCAAGCCTGTTCACAAACTCTTTACATGCAGGTCTATGAGCTAGGTAACTGGCAAAAAGGTCCTTGGAGCCTTGGTTGAAGAAGGAATAGTCTTTATGCAGCACACACATGTCTAAGAGTTAAACAGTCCAAAGGAGAAACTCAGAAACTCAACTGCTCCTGGCAAAGTCCAAAGAAAACCTGAGCATCTGCCAGCAGAGTAAACATGCTCTATTTTTAGATGTGAGCTCTGCCGGCCAGCTTCTGCTTCACAAACTCAAGAACGCACAATAGCAACAAAACTAAAAAGATACACTGGTGCATATGTGCACTAACTCCACCCGCACAACTTTTTTACAAGAAATGTGCTGCTTGGCCCCCATGAGCCAAGGGAGCCTGACTAAATTATCCTGTTTTCCCCACACACAGACTGATTGGATTAAAAAGCTAGAATATGCTTTCTTCAAGAGACCCACCTCACCTGTAGAGACACATATAGACTAAAAGTGAAGGGATGGAAAAAGATATACCATACAAATGGAAACCAAAAACGAGCAGGAGTAGCTATTCTTCTATCAGACAAATAGACTTTAAGCCAAAAAAAACCATAAAGACAAAGAAGGCCATTATACAATGATAAAGGGATCTATCCAGCTAGAAGACATAACAATCATAAACATGTATGCACCCAATACTGGAGCATCCAGATATATAAAGCAAACACTCTTAGACTTAAAGAAAGGAATAGGACCTAATACTTTAATATTGAATGATCTGAACATCTCTCTCAGTATGGGACAGGTCTTCCAGACAACAAGTCAATAAAGAGACACGGGATTTAGTTTACACCCTAGACCAACTGGACTTGGCAGATATATACAGAACATTTCACCCAACGGCTAAAGAATACACTTTCTTCTCATCAGCTCATGGTACATTCTCCAGGATAGACCACGTATTAGGTCACAAATCTAGTCTCAGCAAATTTTAAAAAATTGAAATTATTCCAAGTATCTTTTCAGACCACAATGGACTAAAACTGGAGATAAACAATAAGCAAATCGCTGGAAGCTATACAAATACATGGAAACTAAATAATAATAGAATGATGTATGGGTCCAAGAAGAAATTAAACAGGAAATCAAAAAATTTCTAGAAACTAATGAAAATAAAGATACATCATACCAAAACCTGTGGGATACTACAAAAGCAGTACTAAGTGGCAAATTAATTGCAATAAATGCTTATATCAAAAGAATGGAAAAACTTCAAATAAATGACCTAACACTATGCCTCAAAGAGCTTGAAAAACAACAACAATCCAAACCTAAAGGTAGTAGATGGAAAGAAATAATTAAGATCAGACCAGTAAAATGAAATAGAGACCCCCCAAAACAATAGAAAAGATCAACAAAAAAGTTGGTTTTTTGAGAAGATAAATAAAATAGACAAACCATTAGCTAGACTAACAAAAAGAAGAAGGAAGAAGACCCAAATGACAAAAATCAGAAATGAAAAGAGAGACATTACAACTGAAACCACAGAAATACAAAGAATCATTAGAGACTATTATAAACAACTGTATGACAACAAATATGAAAATCTGGAAGATATGGATAAGTTTCTAGACACATATAAACTACCAAGACTGAACCAAGAAGAGACAGAGAAAACCTGAACAGACTAATAACAAGCAAGGAGATTAAAGTGGTAATCAGCAATCTTTCAACAAAATAAAGTCTGGGTCCAGATGGTTATACAGCTGAATTCTATCAAACTTTTAAAGAGGAGTTAATACCAATTCTCCTCAAACTATTCTAAACAATTGAAACAGACACTGCTCTCCCAAACTCATTATATGAGACCAACATAACTCTGATGCCAAAACCAGATAAAGACACAAGAAAAGAA